CTTTGTTTGCCTTCGGGCAGCGGGCTGTTGTTGGTGTTGTCTTTGCACTTGTGATTGAAGTTGAGGCTCCATACAAGACAAAACCCACTCCTACCTCCTACCCCTAACCACTGCCCAAGCACAACACTTTTCTCCAAGCGAAAAGGCCTGTCCATTATCAATGCATATCACGTTGAATGCTGATGTTTATGATGTCGTTTATTACGACCAAAGACAAGTGAAGTAAACTCCAGTGAAGTGTGGCTTAAATGGCGTCAGAGACATTTGCCAGATTAATGGCCACAGTCCCCCGGAGATTTTTTATGGGGGCGGGGTAGCCCGACAGGGGCGTGGCAAACATCAAGCAGTAACACTAACAACAACAACAACGACAACTGCATTCGCAAACACACACACACATACAACAAATTGTTTACATTTTAATTTCTGCAATTTTATTTGCTTAGCTCTGCGAACTGTCGTCGGTTTGGAAAGGGGTTTCGAAAAGGAATGGGTTTTCCAGGGGAAGGGGAGGAGGGAGGGGTCTAAAAAGGAGGCACATGGCACGAGGCTTATCGCGGCGTCTCTCGGTCCCAAAAGGTGGGGGGGTATAAAATGTGTTTGACGGCTGCTACTGCAAAACTTCATCAAGTTTCGCTGTGTGTAATAAGCGTGACAAATGCCAGGCAAATACAGTGGTCACTCAGCGGGGAATACCTCTTGAAATTGTCAACTTAATAAATAAGTCATAAATGATTTTTCAGATTTAAAAGGAGAACTTTAACGATAAGGAATACGTTTCCATTGTTAAAGTTATAAGCACTTTTTTAGCCCATTTTCTATCTTATTTACCCCTTTCCCTAGCCAAAGTGCGTCTCATAATTATCATAATTATGGTCACCTATATGGTTGTTGGACTGCTTAAAAACAAAAACTGGCCGTGAATCATATTTCCATGGCATTGCACATTTTCAGTTCGCAATTCGCAATTCGCAGTTTTCGCAGAGAGCGTTTATAACAAAAGCCGAGTTGGCAAATCTGAGGTTCTCGTTTTTGCCATTGTTGACAACAAATGAGCGCCATTTAATGCGCTTCCTAGTTGTTTGCTAGTTGTTGTTGCTGCTGCATGTTGGTTGTTCATTGTTCGTTGTTTGGCGTAATTAAGCAGCAGCGCTTTTCTTCAGTCGCCCAGCCACTCAGCCACTTTGCACTTGGCTTGCACTTTTACAGCTTTCGGTTTCCAGCGTTCAGTTTTTCAGATCATTTACGAGCACTTGGCATTCGCCGTTCCACTTTGCCAAACATTTGCTTACAAGCATGTTTCGGTGTCCGCTCTTTTTGGTCTTTAGCATGGCGACTTGTTAGCGCCATGTTTACACTCTAGAAAAAGCTTAATTAAATCTCCGAATGCTCGAAAGCTTTCTTTCCATTACCCATTTTTCTTATATTTTATATATATTTTTTTTTTGGGCATTTACCAAGTCATTCCACCCGTGGCCAAAAATTAACACTTCATTTAGCATAATTTCACACCATCTCCACATCCATCGCCTGACAAGTCCATTCTGTCTTTGCCATTCTCCCATTATGTAATCTTTCTCGCTTGGCCAAAAAAAGAGTCCCATAAATGAAGGGAGGAATAAAGTTTTTGGGTTACTTTATAACGAAACTGGGAGTACCCTTTAATACAAAATAAATCTTTAAAAATAACTAAAAAGTTTCCTACAAAATATTATAAGTCCTTGCAAAATTATCGATCAATCTGAAGAAAAATGACTGGCAAACCCTCTTTTAGCATACAACTTCATCGATTCAAAGTTCTTTGGCGAGTTAATTAACACTTGGCAAAGGGTATGAACATTTATACGGATATACGTACATTTGTGTTTATCCAAACTCTGCCAGCCATAAATCAAAAATCTCGACACTCACCCGCGGACCCTGCTCCTCCTGCACCTCCTCCGTGAATCCGATGCCCGATTTCGCGTGCTAACAAGGCCCCAAAGCGGCGGAACCTTGGAGAACCCAGAAGAGAACTTCCACTGGCGTGAAAATTTATGTTTTTTTTCTCCCAGCTTTTTGTTCATTTTTATTTTATGAATATATATATATGTATATATATTCTTGTATATATATATATGGGGGACAGCTTGAAAGAAGTGGGAAAAAGTTGAGCGGAAAAGCAGGAAAAGAGCCAATGCCGTTGGCCACATTTGCTGGTGTAAAGTTTTTCGCATAGTTGTCAGCATTGCGCTGTTTAATTACCCTAATTAAGAATATTAATTGCCCTTCGGGTGGATAATAGTAATAAAAAAAAACAAAAGGCGAGAGCGAGGAACGGTGTTGGGGTGGTGACCCTATTTCCCGGAAATAGAACATGAATTATGATATGCAAAAAACTTTCCACAACGTTTTCCATTTAAGTTGCGAAATCGAAAAAGTTGAGACAACTTTAAAGGGGGGCGGGGCGCAGCAAAGAAGAAGAGGTAGAGGGTCACGGGGCTAGGACAAAGGACACGCACTCCATTAAACCAAAAACGGGGCCGACACATACATATGCGACAACAGTAACAACGGCAATAGCAAGCCACTAACTGGCAGGAGGTGAAAGGTGAAAGGCAGCCCGGAAAGCTGCGAAGGATGAGCAGATGGACACAGGTGTCCTGTCGCTGGCCCATCAACACCTCTCCTCGACTCGGCCAACAGACCAACAATAACAACAACAGGAAAAACACTCACACACATTTGGAAACAGACGGGTCCGGCTCTTTTCATTTTCTCAACACGTAAAGCAAACACGTGACCGTTAAGGACATGGACTCCTGCTGCCCCTTGCTCTTAGCCCCAAGTCCTCAGCCCATTCCACTCGGTTGTAGGCGCAAATTGCCAACAGAAGGACAACGACAACGAATGCACTGAAAGAAATTGGTAGAACGTTCTAGTTCTGCGGGGTTATTTAAGTCTTAAAAGGAATTAAAGATTATTATTTCGGTCATTATTTTCTCCTAAATATCTTCAGTTTTATAAAATAAATTAGTTTTTAATTTTAGAACTAGTTTTAGTAGTTTTTTCTCTTAGTGTACAACCGAGAGACTCCACCATAAACTGACGGCTTATGGCAGACACAGCACAAAGCTTCGCTCTGCTCCTGTCCTGCTGCCCCACCGCCCTCGGCACCACCCCCTGCCTTGCACCAACACCACCACCACCACCACCACCACTTCATATCGCAGCTACGTGCGTGTGTGCACAATATTCATATATCACAAGGATAAGCGCAATGCAGCAAACGTCCTTCCAGACGTGCCGTTCCTTGTTGTTGTTGTTGTTGTTGCTGTTCTCGTTTGTGGTGCCTTGTCCTTTTCCCGAGCCAACTTCAGTGGCAGTAGCAGTAGCAGTAGCAGTAGCGACACCACCACCCCCTCCTCCTGGTGTGTGTGTGGTAACTTTTAATTATTTGCGAATGTTGGCGCCAGACGGCGAGATGCGATGCGATCCTGTCCAGGACTGTCGCCCTTGCCATCCTGTCTCCTTTCCTTCATTGATTTCGCTGACCAGAAGTTTAGGATGAGGCAAAGGAGGAGCGGTGGGTGACAAAGATAAAGGGGGAGGTGTGTGCCGCCGGTCAAGGCGAAGGCAGCGCCAAAATCCAAAGGCCCCATAAACATTGAGCGCCATAAAATCTGCTGGCAGCGCCATAAAAATTCCCACAGCGGGAGTTGGAGACTGGAGACTAGCGACTGTACCCCCGAATACCCTTTATGCGCCCTACTAAACTCCACAAAACTCCACGTCCCGGTTAGATAGAGTCGTCCCTCTCCCACCCATAACAGACAAACGCATAAAACTAACGCAGCGTAAACGCCGCCGTTGTTGTCATCTGTCTTCTCGTTACGTTATTTCTTTTTGGCAGCTTCAGCACAAAAATTTATCTTATTTATTTCTTTGACTGAAAGCCAACACAAACGGATGCCGGCGAAATTGCTGCATTTTGATGCTTGACTGATTGCTAAATCCAAAACATACAAATCTTTAATTTTCTTCGCTCTTTTCTCTGCTTCATTTTTAACCCATATTCGATCTAACGTAACTTTACGACAACTTGGCGTAGGAGTCGTAACGATCTGGCAACACTGAACGTGTAGATTTCTGAAAGTAGCGAGTGTAAGAGGGACGTCTAGTTGTATTGTAGGTGTGTGAAAGAGGGATAGATAGTTTTCTTTTTACCGAAAATTTGCAACTCCTTGCAGAAAATTTTCGTCTTCAAGCCGGAAGAAAGCTACATTTTCAACCTTCGCGAATCTGGATTTTTTTTTTAAGTTTCCAGATTTCTAATTAAATAACGTGACTTAGATCTTTATTTATCTAACTGAAGTGACCATTATACTTTTTGTTACTTTATTTTTTGTGCAAAAAATATGTCTGAGAAAAAAATGGTGGTGGGTGTAATAAAAAAAAGTGTGAAATGGTTAAACAAATTGCTTAACTGGTTATACATTGTTTTAATTGTTAAGCTTTTAATTGTTTTCAGATTAACCTAAAAATTTGTGAAATTGTTGGTAAGAGTGTTCTGAAGGGAATGAGTGCCTCAAAAATGTCACGTCATGGAAGTAGGAAAGCTTTTAGGTTAGGGTACCTTAAAAAGGAAAAAAGAAAATGTACTTAGTGAAATGTGAGTTTTATGGTGATTATATTATCACCATTTTGAATTTCATTGGTGGGTGTTGTAAAAAAGAGCAAAAATGTACAAATTTGTTAAATTTTTGCGTGTTCTTAAGAGAAGAAATGCGAAGTCATCGAAGTGGAACAATTTTTTGGTTAGGGTATCCTCCAAAAAAAAATTGAAAATTTGCTTGGTGAAAAGTGAGTTTTATGGTGATTATAAATACCATTTTCTCCCCTGAATCTTCAAAACTAATTTTTAATTTTCCCATCTACATAATTAAAAAACTAATTTTAAATAATTAATGTAATTTTCCAATAATTAATATACTTTGTTTTATTATTTAATTTTTTTTCAGTTTGGAAAGTCTCGCCAGGTTGCCCGCAAGAATCCCAATCCACGCAGGCTGGATACCCTGTGGCCAGAGTTGCCAAGGTCACACCCGCTGTATAAGGAGACACGACCCCCGACCCCATCCCCAACTCCAACCCAATCCCAGCCAAAAGCCTCCAATCCGCAGGAGAAGCCGCCGCTTAAGAAGCAAAAAGTTGACCTCATGACGATGGCAGAAGGCACCGACCCCATGGGGCATGGTCACCACACGAATCCGCACAACCCCCCGCCCCAGCCGCCGCAGCACCATCCGCACCACCTGCCCCTGTCCCATCCCCCGCCGGCACCGCCGCCGCAACTCCTTAATTTCAATCACCACCAGCAGCAGTATCTTCCCCATATGTATCCTGCGCCCGCGGCTGCGGCTCAATCTCACTCCCACTACGGTGGCTTGCAGTATCCGCATCCACATGCCATGCAGCATCAGCAGCACCACCCTCATCAGCACCACCTGCCGCTGGCATTGAGCCTGCATCAACAGGCGGCTGCTGCGGCGGCAGTGGCTGCAGCGGTGGCCACCAACCACTCCAACAACAACAACCAGGCCTGTGTGGCCAACAATAATATCGTGGTTCCATGGAAGCAGCGCAAGCGCAAGAGGCTCTCCGCGGTGCTGGACAAACTGCACCATAATAATAATAACAACAACAATGAAACCCACTCCAATGGCTTGGCCTGCAAAGCGGAGCCCATGGATATGGAGGAGGTTGAAGATCCTGAACAAGATGAAGAGGATCATGATGGTTCTATGCCCGATGATGAAGAGGATCAGGAAGAAGATCCTGGCAAGTATATCAAAAGCGAACATCCCGTAAGTGAGGACGAGGAGAACGAACCGGAAATGGACAACGACAACGAGGACATTTCTGGGGAGGATCTCGAGCTGTCGCACAGCGATGATAATGATCAGGATAGCCCTAGGATCAGCATGAGTCCTCTGCAATTGCAGGCCTCCCAGAGCAATATCCCCCAAGACCAGAATCAGCCGCTGAACAAAGAGAATCCGCTGCATGTGGACATCAAGACTGAGATTCCCGGCCCCTACGATAGATATTTCCCGATATCATCACCTCTGTTCGGTTACTACCTGCACACCAAGTATCTGAATGAGGTGTTCCGCCGGCGTCATGATCTCTATCCCTCGCCCCTGCAGCACACCCCATCTTCGATAGCTTCCGAGACGGAGACTTCACCCAATTCTCAGGAGCGTAAGAGCAGCTCCAATCACATGTTGCCCCATGCTCTCTTGGCTAATAATTCACCACCGCCATCGCTGCCCTCGCCACCGCGCAGCGAATCCTCGGTGACCAATAATGTAGCCGCCACCACCACCACAACTAGCAGCACCACCAAGAAGCGCACCAGTCCCAAACCCAAGGGCAAGAAGGGCGACAAGAAGCCCATGCCTCCGCCACAGGAGCGTCCCTTAGATCTTTGCGTGCGCAACGAGGTGGAGCCGCCCAAGAAGTACAAAAAGTCCGGCTCGAAATCCTCTCATGAGTCCCGTTCTGCCGTTATGATGCCACCACCGCCGGCCCTAAGTGCGGCTAGCAGTTTGGAGAGCATGAGTGCCCTGTCCCCGGCTTCGAGTAGCCACTCAGGTCACATGCCCATCACCACCGCTGCCACGCCCAACCACCAGCCACCGCCCAATTCTCCATATGCCAATGCCATGAACGCTGCCCATGCAGCTGCAGCGGCAGCGGCAGCCATGATCAAGATGGAGATGCCATTGCATCCACTGCACCACCAGCAGATGCATCACTCGCAAGTGCCCACCACCACAGTGGGTGTGCCGGTGATCAAGGGTGATGTGGCCTCGCCCACAACCAAGGAAACTGTGGCCTGGAGATACAATTTGGATGTCTCCCCGGTGGTTGAGGAAATGCCTCCCGGGTCGGATGTGGCCTATGTCTGTCCTACTTGTGGACAGATGTTCTCGCTGCACGACCGCCTGGCCAAGCACATGGCCTCGCGTCACAAGTCCCGCAATCCTGCCAATGATATTGCCAAAGCCTATTCCTGCGATGTTTGCCGGCGATCCTTTGCCCGCTCCGACATGCTGACCCGCCACATGCGCCTCCATACGGGCGTCAAGCCGTATACGTGCAAGGTGTGCGGTCAGGTGTTCTCTCGCTCGGATCACCTGTCCACCCACCAGAGGACCCATACCGGCGAAAAGCCCTACAAGTGCCCGCAGTGTCCGTATGCCGCCTGTCGTCGGGATATGATCACCAGGCACATGAGGACCCACACGCGCTACGATTCCAAGGGAGGATCGAGGGAGGGCAGGGAAGGACGCGAGGGCAGGGAGAGTCGCGAGTCCCGCAGGAGTGGCGAGCGGATCGAGGAGCCCAAGTCCCCCAATTCCCATCCGCTGCTCGACATGAAGATGAACATGAACATGGGCATGGGAATGGGCCTGAACATGGGCCTGCCCATGAACCCCATGAGCCTGCTGCAGGAAGAGCTGCTGCAGAAATCCCAACCCGGCTTAACCCTCGGTGGCCCTATGCCACTGGTGGTGAAGACGGAAAGCGCCTAACGGTATCTGTATGCAGCAGCAGCCAGACCGTTTATGACCTGTTAGGTGTCAACGTCATCATCATCTCGATATTGACAGGCCCAGCTTAGTGCTACACAGAAAGAAAAAAGAGAAACAAAACAACAAAACAAAAATCTAAAAAGATAACATATTAACTAGAGCAGTTTGTACTTGTACCGGAAATCTCTGCTAAGACTGAGGAACCTTAATACTACCTACAGTTTAAATAGGCTAAAAACAACCATCTAACTAACTTTGTAAAAGAAAGAGAGAGAGAGAGTTTGAGGGCAGCACTCAAGACCACCCAACGTATTAGCACTTAAACTAGTTCTAGTTGCTAGATCCATTTTGCGTTAAATGAACCCCCAGGAGTTTAGATAGCCAGGATCTTCGATACAGCTAGCAATTCCATGTTCCACACTTAGGTTATACTATAATTTACTATATATATTATATATATAAAGATGATCAGATCCCTACTGCGATCCGATCTCTCAGCATTTTGAGCAACGTTGAAATTATTAAGCTAGACTCGCTACTTAGGCTAGAAGTCATGCCGCATTGGAGAAGGCATTAATTTTAATTAAATTTTAATTTATTTTTAACATTACTCAGCAGCATGTAAACAAATACCACAACAATTTGTATTAATTGAATTTTACTCTATTTTATTTAATTTAATTTAATTAACTAGCCTACGGAAAAACACAAACAAAAGACAAAGAATTCTCCCTAGGGCTCAAAAAAAACAACAACTACTACTCATTTTCCATGGAAATCTTAAAAGAAAAACAAACAAACAAACACTAAGCAACAAGAAAAAACTATTCCTTTTTTTTGTTCAACAAAAAATCTTTGTTAAATTTACTTTATCTTTGTAATTGATTTAATTCTCGCTTTTTTATATTCTATTTTTTGTTTTCATAAAATGAAATAAAAACCTTTAAGTTTTCTTTAGTTCATAAACCATTTTTGGATTGGACAAACCTCACCCCCTGCCGATCCCTGATATGAGGGGGGGACAGGTTAACCCGTTTGTCCCCCCATCGGGAGCGCAAATCCCCTCCGGGGTCGTTTCCATGTTTCAAGTTGAAGTTTTTCGTTATTTATTATAAAAAAAAAAAGAGAAAGAAACAAAGCCCCGACTCCCACTTATTGATTATTAGTTTCTAGCTAAACGTTTAAATAAATTATTAACTTATGTTATTCTAGTTGGTTATGATTAGCTCTTAGTTAAAAACGTTTTTCACAAAATAAAACAAAACAAAGTCTGCACACCGATGGACAATGTCATACAAAACAGAATTTAAATCAAACGCATTTTGTTTTTATTTTTTAAATTGGATTTTATTATTTTCAGATGGGTTGATTTTATGGTTTGAGAATGATTTAATCGATCTAGTTTATGTTTTTACAAAAGATATCCTTCTTTTATTAAGAAAACAAAATATTGTTTAACAACTTGTATGCTTATTTTCAACTCCTTCACGAAAACAACTTTAAGACTTAAAGTTCCCTTAATACCAATAACAGCCTTAAAATATTTAAACATATCCTTTCAACGTCTGGCCACCTAATTTGGTTATTATTTCAATGATTAGCCGTGTGGATTTTTCAGACATATTTTTTTTAGGAGCCTAAAACCCTATACTTTCCCTACAGTTTTCTTTTAGTGCCCGTGCCGGAGACGATGTCGTTGTTTTAGCCGTAGTCGCAGCCGGAGCCGGAAACTGGCTTACAAGCTTTTAGGCAATGGGAATCGCTTACAAGGCGCAGTCAGCTCCTTTCGCCGGTCACGAAACTGCATTTTGGCACGCAGCCCCCGCTTTTCCCACCCACTCCTTGCTTTTCGGCTGGTTTTTCCCACGCTAAGGATGCGGGGGTGCCTAGGTGGCCGACCAAGAGAAGGAGAAAGGTGGAGGAGTAGCACACCAAGTCCTTGTTCTTCGCATGGAAATTTTCTTTGGGGGCCTAATGGCCTCGAAACACGAAGAAGGCCGTCCAGGCGTGGGAGTTCCATGGATAAGGTGGGTGGTGTTTGGATGTTTCAAGGGGCAAGGAGTGGCTACTCTGTGGCTCGGGACTTGCTGCATTGCAGTTTGCGGCTAATGTCTGACCTTGTTTTGCAATGACTAAATTAATTCCTTAATAAGTGCGGTTGCAAAACAAACACGAAACTGCAGTTGTGGCACAGTTGGCGACGAGTTTGCCGGGTAGCACCCACTCTGCCCGCCACCCTTAGGAATTTCCAACTCCACCCTCTGCTTCTGGTGTAATTAAGCAGTGAAAATGCCCCAATTGACAGACATTGTGTTGGCTGCGGGAAAATGTAGGAGTCTCGCATCTCTGGGGCAATAAATCAGGGCAAGGGGCAGACACAAACTATGGCTAAGTAGCCATCGTGTTGCAGCTAGCATGTTGCACTCTATCACTTTTCACGGGGAGCGAAGGATGGTTGGAAAGGAGATGTGGGGATTCCGTGGAGGGTGACTTATGGCCCAAACTGTATTAGCCGGGCCTAGATGAGATGATGCCGCATTGCATAATCCGCTCGGGTCGTGCATCATTTTGGTCAACATCGCCATCGCCTGACATTATTTGCAGCTTGCAGCGGATTTTTCTCCTTTTTAAGATATCCTGTATTTTAGTAATGAGGGGTATATTGGTACTAAGGTCTTTAGGGATTTAGAAAATCTTTAACCTTACTCAGCCCGTGAATATTTTTATAATTTTTAAACAATTTAAAAGTTTTTTCCAATAATAATTCCTTCTTCTTTTTTGTTCTTAGTAGGTCAGATTAGATAGTAAGTTCCCCCTTAATATTTTAGCCTTTTCCAGTGGACACCAAGTGTTCGGATATCGTGGCTATAGCCATTATGCGTTCTCCTATATTTTCACTCGGTTCTAGTCTGTGGCATGCATAAATCTCTAAACAAGGCGCGCGTGTCGTGCGTTTATTATCACTTCCTCTCCACAAGTCCACAAATTTAGAGGGGCAGGGCGGTGTTGCAGGGTGCAGAGATTCAGATTCAGGGGGATGGCTGGCATCCAACTTTCCTTTTGTCTCCACTCGCGAAATTTATCGCCGTCATTTGTAATTGTGGCGCGCAAAATTGAGTTTGAGTTTGAAGTTTGGCCAGGGTGGTCAGGGGAGCAGCCCCACACAGGAGGCAGGGTTGTCGCCGTTCGCCAGTTTATGCATTGTTTCCATCAACATAATTCAGTTTGGCTTTGGATCAACTCCAAGTGATTGTTTCGCCTGGCGGAGATTTACGGGCACTAAGCTGGGCAACGCTAACAAAAACCCGAAACGATATTTGTATATAGGCAACCATAAATAGAGAAATAGATCTAGATTTATACTTAGATATAGTGCTATATATTTCCGTCACACGGAAGTGCCTTATAAAACAACAACAACAACAACAACAACATTTTTGATACTCAACAAGAAAGAAACTAAAAAAAACGAAACAAGAACTAAAATTGAGATATTGTAAGATAGACTTTTTGCCTTGTACATTGAGCGACTTTTGCCAGGCCTAATCAACTTTTTGACTAATGATTAACAATAAATGATAATGGTTAGCCCGTGCAAGGGCACATATATATATACATATAGATATATAAATAAAGTATATTTACCAGAAATACGTAACATATTTTTAACAAACAGAAAACTTAGTCGTAAGATTTTTCAACTTAACGCTTCTGAGAAGTTAAAAATTTTAAGCATTAAATGCTAAACGCATCCAGTCAAGTATTTTTTAATAAAACTCCATTTACTAGACTCGACAAAAACGCCTATAAAAATACGAAAAATAAAACTTTTAAAATTCAACAAAAACACTCAAACTTCACTCAACTAAACTCAAGTAAATTTTATGAATCGCTTTCAGAAATATTTTTATAGCGCTTTTCGAATTTTAAATCAAGAAATCAAAAGAAGATCTAAACTATGTAAATTAAATCAATAACTATGATAGCTAATCGATCAAAAGACTTTTCAACTCTTAGCTTACATTTGCCTTCTAGTCCTAAGAATTCCAGAATCGAAGATATATTAATCGAAATTTTATCGAAATTGCATTGAAGTGGAGAGCGAATCAGCGAGCAACATTGTGATATTAGTTGAGAACAAAATCGAATCACTTCCAACTGCTAGTTATGCTATCATTTTGGGATACCCCAAGCCCAACCCAATCCGATCTTCCAATTTGATTAAGGTGCTATTAAGTTCGATCTTATCTTACGGTGCTATGTACAGTGAAAAATGCTTGGTTAGTTTAAGTTACCCTTTTGAACTTCCCCTCTCCCTAGAACACTCTGACAATCCTTAGCTGCCCAAAACCAAAACAAAAAGGAAAAACATTATATGATTCATTATTGTACTAAAGTCTCTTGGAACCGTCTTAGTAGTTCCGCCATTGTACGCTAAAGTTTAACTAAATTATGAATAACTACGAGTATTTCCATTAAGTCTACTCTAATTAGTTTCTCTTCCATCGCAAAAATACGAAAATAAATAAACGAAAACGAAAACGAAAACTGAAACTTAATGCTGTGGTGAGGAGCGGATTTTTGGAATGCGCAGCTAATGTAAAATGTCTTCTGCCCTGCAGTCTTAACTGAATGCAATCAGGAGGGGATGGGCTGCTTGGCTCTCCAAGATCTCTCCAGTTTGGGCTGGGCTGGAAGGATCGGGAGGATGGCGGATGGGGACACCGAAGGGCTGCGGCAGAAATAATGCGCGTAATAACAAACTGCAGGCGTAACTGAAATGCCAGGCTACTGCGCATTTGTCCAGCTGAACACTGAGAAAAAATTAGGTACATCTTAAGATCTTAGTCCGGCTAATTATCTAGACAAAGTCGGTAAACCTCTATGCTAAAGAGACTTAAGATGTTGCATCTTAATCTACTGTCTCCATATCCTCCATATCTCCATATAGTTTTCCATATTTTCCTATCCTATATTGAATATTAATAATACTTGATTCCAGCTTACATGACCTTCCTCTCAGTGTAAAATTGGCGAAGGCGTTGGCCCCGACGGACGGGAGGCGCAACTGCGGTAATTACAATTGCCGCCGGACATGGACGGCAGAAGCGGCATCACTGCCACACCGCACCGCACCAAAAGCGAGTTGCACAGTGGCAGGCACAGCTGTGTGGCTCCGTCAGTGGATCCTCATCCTCGCATTTCGAGTCCCTGCCCAAGAGACAATTATATGCTGCCAGAGACGCATGCGCAGCTTCCTGGGTTGCGGCTGCATTTCGTTTTTACGTTTTTATTTGAGCAAATTGCTGGCAACTTTGCGCTGACTGACTGACTGACTGAATGATAGACTCACTGACTGCTTCGGAGTCCGGGTTTTTGAGTCCGAACCACAGTGACTGACAGTTGCCAAGGCTGGGTCCCCCCAACTTTGCCAGTTCTGTTCTCCCCCCGGTTACTTCTCCAGCTTCCAAGCTATCCAGTTCTCCTCCAAAATGTCTACGTGCGGGCGTTTTGCTCAAGAATGCTCTCGGGTCGCTGGTCTCGAACGATAATGATGATTGCAGTCTAAATTATGATGCCGGGCTGCTGTACAGAGAGAAAGTGTAGCATCAGCAGCAACATCAGCCGCATCAACGGCAGGAGCAACAGCAGCAACAGAAGCTGCCTGCAACATCATCGACCTGGCAAGCGGCTACTCCTCCTCTTCCTTTGCAGATCAGGGCTGGAATGGATCCTGGTTAGGAAAGGAATAATAGTAAGTTTATATATTTACAAGTTTTTATGTGTTTTCGTATTTATTTCTTTTTAAAATAATTCTTGTTTTTAAAAACCCCTCAAAAAAGGTTTCTAAAGGTTTCTTTCAAGTTCTTCAAAGTCCGCTCCTGGTTTGTTTAGCATAACTCCTTGCCTCTGGCCTCGCAGCTTCACAGAGGAAGCGCAAAAAATCTCATAATTGCAAAGCAGTTTGCCGCAGGTGCGCCACCCGCCCTGGATGTGGATGTATATAGGATGTGGATGTGGCTATGGCTGGGGATTGGGGGATTGGGGATGTACCTGGGACCCTGGACAGAGGACGCCAGATGAGCAGCTCCGATAAAGCGGCGAACTGCACGTAAGTAGATGTGTTGTTATTGTTGCTGTTGGCGTTGCCTTGATGTTGCTGATGTTGCTGCAGCAACATCCGATGGCAGCGACTTGGTCTCGTTCTCGTATTTAATGCATTTGATCCTTGATGCTGTTGAAAATGAACTGAGCCCGAACATGCAATCAAGTTGAGTTGCCCCCTCCGCTTCTTCCATCTTGGCAATCTTGGCAATTTCATGAATGAAAACTTGCCTCGTTTCGTTGAAGTTTGCATGTTTTGGCTTTGCGATATACGAGTACACGCACACCCACACACAAAAATAAGAAAAAATAAAAGGAAGAGAAAAATACGAAAAGAAAAAGGCTCGAATGGGATTTGGTGAACTAGCAACATTCTGCGTCTGCTGCAGCTGCAGCGCATTAACCTCGTTCGTTCGTCTTTCGTCTGTAAGAGTAAGACTCCGAATCCGAAAACTCCTTCTCCAACTCTGGCAAAATATTTACCAAAGTGATTAAGATGCCTGAGTAATTTTTAACACAATTACGCTGCCAAAGAGACGACGCTCTGGAGTTGGAGTTGCTGCCGCTGTTGCTGCTGCTGCGTTTGCTACCTCACTTACACCGCAGCAACGATTGCTGTTGCAGCTGCAATGCTGCTAATGACCAGGCACAGGCTGCAATATAAACTGTGGCATTGTCTGGAGTAAGCCTCGCTTTTTACCCCGTACAGCCCCAAACCTGGACGAACACCCAGCAACTTGTGTGTCTTTGCCATTAGCGCTGCCACACTAGGCTGGCTTTAATCGTAGCGAGGCGACTGCTTCGCGGCTCAAAATCAACAGTGAAAAACCAAAAGACAGGCGGGTGTTCACGCATCACCGTTTTTTGACAGCTTTTTTTTCGCCCTAGACATAGTCACTTATTTTTTTTCTTACTGTGATTTCCTGTGATTTATCGAATTTATGAAGCTTTGGCAGGTGTTGAGCTCGCTTGTAACTTTTGGATGCATCACACATTCGAAGCGTACACAATGTTGCCCCATTCAACGCACGACAAGCTGCAAAAAGAGTCGTGCCGCATTTGGTTTAGTTTTTGGTGGCTTCGTGTGGCACGACTTTTTTACTTCTGCCTCAGAGAGTCCATTCAGATTGCCGTGAATATGTGCACAAATGCACTAACAGCCGGGACATTTGTACAAAATATTTGTCAACGCGGCACTGAGAGAACAAATTGGTGCTAAACTGTGAGAGGAACTTGGTGTTTTTAACAGTTAATAGTTTTTAAAGAACTTAAAAAAACGAAATAAAGAAAAAATTTAAGGCAATGCCCTAACATTAAGATTTTTAATCCCTTTTAGTTTTTTAGAAATACTTTTTAACATTTTTTTAGCCACGAAACATGACTTCGAAAACTCCAAAAATATCTTCTCTCTGTTTTTGGAAAACACATCTTAGGATGGCGTTAGTATTAAAGAGGCAAAAGGCCAGAGAAGCTTAACTCCTGGCCAAGAGGCTAATTTCCTCATAGCCAAGTACCTCTATCTCCTCCTTACTCCGGCGGCTCAATGAAAATGAAAATGAGCTCGGCACGCGTTGCCATGGCGCACGACTGGAAAATTGCAGAAGCCGCTTGGCTGCACTTGCGAAAAAGGGGAAGCATTTTGGGTCGGAGGGTTCCCGATCCCTCTCTTAAAGCTCTTTTAGCCACTTTTCAATGGTGTTTCGGCCACGTGTTGCGCATGCGCTTTGGACTCCGGGGTCCAAGTCGAGAGCTCTGAACATGAGCACGACGCCCTCAGCGTTTGTTTGTCAGGGTCGACTGCGTTGCCAGTTGCTAGTTGCAAGTTGCAGGTTGCCAGGTTGCAACTCGAAACTGCCGCATCGTGCAGCGGCCGTTGCAATTGTTCTTCCCCCAGCGACTGGATGGCGTGAGGCAGGCGCAGGCACACAAGCAACACCACCGACACCGCAGCAACACTAGCCGCATAAGCAACACCTTCACTCTCTTTGGCAGCGATATCGCGATGATGTATGGTCATGGCTGCCCCGGAACAGCCGCTCCCCTTCCCCCTCCCCGCATACTTTTCAAGGCCCCCTCCTATGAAAGGCCCCTCTTCTCGGATTGTAGGCGTCAACTCACGTTTATGCTTTGTAGACATTATCGCGCCTGTTTATCTTTAAATTGCAAGTAAATTACTTTCGGCTCGCACAGTGGATGATAAATTGTCTGGGCCGCGTTGAAGGCTCTGATGGATGCAATGAGACCAAATCAAGGGGAGGGGTGTCGATGCGGGGGAAAATGGGAAAGTATCAAGCTCCACCAATTATTCGCTGGCTGAATTCACAGATTCTCACCCGTTTATCTGAACATTTCGTGAGCTAGCTTAACGCCTAATAAATTCAAAATTATATTAGAAAATATCGAAAGGTGATGTGAGGTATATAGATTGGGGTTTATTAGAAAACTATTTTGAAAATTAGTTAATACATATTTACATTTATTTATTTTGTATTAAAATCCTGAGCTTATCTTTTCAAATTGTCACCCGTTTATTCGAGTTTTCTTTCGTAAACTAAACTAAGTACTTAATAAATTAACAATAATGAAAGAGCGTTTGGCTAGTCAGAGGTTTCTATGGACAATGGATGGTTGTTGGAATCTCTCAATAATGGGTTTCGGTGATCCTGACCTTTCCGTATTTGCCGTGCAGGGCGTGCTTGGCGAAGGACAGCAGGTTCGAGTGGGTGTGGGTGTCGAAGTGGGCTGGGATACTGTGGTGAACCACGGCGGCATGGGTGTCATGATGATGGTGGTGCACCACTGGAGCGGCATGCAGACGGGCATAGTGGTAATGGAGCGGCTCATGGTGGTAAACAGTAGTTGGCAGCGACTCCACCAAGTGGTGATCCAAATGATGATCGAGATGATGGTTCAAATGATGATCATCATGGACAATGGCAGCACTGTGTCCCAGATGGATGCCATCCGAATGGTGGATCTCAGCGTCCAACAGATGAGGTAGTTCCTCGTGATGGTAGCCATGATGGCTATCCAGATGAGGCAGGAGACCAGCCTGAGCAGCGCCCACCAAAGCCAAGATGCACACGAAGAACTGGAATTTAAAAGAATTAATTATTTTTCAAATTTAGGACAACTTTTTGGTTTTAAATTTTAAGTTTCGGTACTTAGTTCTTTAAGTACTTATCCTTAGAGCCTTTTATAACTTCCTTACCTTCATTCTGAGAGATTCCTTGCTTAAGTTGAGGTATTATCCAATTGCTAAGCTAACCTTTTGTCGGCTGAACTGTTGTCGTTTGACTGTGCCTTCATCGAACGGAAGCCTATCATTTTATAGAAGGCTCGTCCACCAAGAAAATTCAAACGAAATCGAAAACCGTCGGCGAGGACGTGATTGGAATTAATCAAAGTTCGAGTGAATGAAAGGTCTTCCCTCATTATGTAAAGGGAGTGCAGGGAGGGCCACTGTCAACAAACCCTAAGTAGGTGCCGACCGATCGTGTCATAATTTTATGGCCCACAGCCCCAGTGCAATTGTTAATGAGTAACCCAGCGACTACTCCCACCACTGTGTTGGCCATTTGGCAATAGCGCGTAGTGAAAGCCTCAAGTGGATGACCACCAACATTATCCGACTATTTTGCCGGGCTTCAATCAACTGGGACGTGAGCAGTCCAAATATTTGGCAAACATCTCGAATAGAGGTGCGAAAATGTGATCGACGCAAGTCGCAGATCGAAAATCGCGATGTGTGGGTGCTGGTGCCGTTGGCAAATAGAAGAGGTGCCACAAAAAATACCTGGAAATGCTTTGTTGGAGGATCAACAGACGCGTTGAGGTGAGCGACGCGTAAAGAATCAATTGGATGCTAATTGAATATATCACTCCCACAAGATGCCAATTAGAGGCTTCCCAGCCTAGACTCAAGGTGGTGCCAACTTGTAATCCAAACAAAAATCGCAAACTGAACTTATTAAAATCGGTTAGGGAGTAGATATTTATTATATTCATTATTCATCAGGGATTAATTGAAAATGACAAATTGAGCACTTAGGATGATAGGCATATAAGGGTTAGTAAATAATTAATTTAATAATATTCGTATTATCAATTTATAAATATGATATGCACCGATATTTAAATTGGAAATAAAATTAATTAAAAACTAACTTAACACAACTTCTTTGCACTTTTCTATTACCAAAGATATTACATCATAAATATTCAATAACCAACTAGCATTATTTTTCCAATTTTCTTAATTAAGTCCGCCATAAATTCTAAATACAACTTAACATTGGCCATAAAACCACAATTAAATGTAAATTATCTTGACTTACCAACATGCAGCTTGTAATATATAAACATGTAAGTATAAAACTTTATTAATTTGCTAATAAATCGCTAAAGTTTATTAGCCCGAACAAATGCATGTGGTTTAACACACATACTTACGCTCAGACGCCTGTTTTAATCGGTCAGGAATGGAGTTAGTATTACCACACAATCCCCCGCTGGAATAATTCACTTTTAGTACATATACAGTAGATTTCCCAAGCTCCGCAGCGAGTTTCCTAATCTGAGTCCCTGGACTGCTGACTTCCTGTCAACGACGTGCCGACAAAAAACACGTTCCATAAGTCAGTTCCAAGAAACATGAATAAATCAGACTGATAAGAGCACCAGCCTGAACCACCTGCTGGGATGTGGGTCAGCCTGTAGCTAATTACATAATAATTTGGTCAATCAAACGACGTGGTGTTAATGAGCCGCACTGTATGCAGGTGACAAGCCAACTTCGCCGAACTTGGCTAACAGGTGACGGCGCAGGGGGTGTGGTGGTGTCTCAGGCTGATTCAATGGGGCGGTGGCTTTGGGGGGATTCGGCATACTGAACCCACGTGCTACGTGCGAACAACTTAAAATGCCAGACAGGTGTCGTTCCCCAATAAGCCGGCGGTGCGAATTTGTTTGGGGTTCAGAAGCGCGATCGCAATTTGTGCACGCCTGACAAATGGTCAAAATAAAACTGATACGTTCTGCCCAGAACGTAGGTTTTATAACTGGACAATCAGCTTGCTAATATATCTCGAGGTAACGAAGATAATTAAATACTTATTTATTAGTTTGCTGTTATTTGGCAAATATAAACAAAGATTGCAATTTGACTGGGAATTAAAATACAAGCTTTGCAAGGTGTGACCGTCTTTATTACGATAATTTTTAGCTTTGTTTTGCTTAAAATACTGACTTTTTTGGACATCGAAACAGGATACTGATCAAAATCAGTATTGTTATCGAATGTAGTATTTTTTTTTGGTTGAATCGAAGGCCTTATTTTTAGTACCTAATCGAAACCTACAAATTTTAATTAACTGTTTAATATGAAATGACTATATGAAAGGACCAAATCGGGGTAATCATATGGCCTGGCCTGCTGGCAAATCGAGCGGGAGGCATAACAAAAGCAGAGCAGCGCCGCATCGAAATTAAAAATGAAAATAAAAATAAATAAACTATAATTTATGCGACGTCACCGCACTGGTCGCTGTAATTGAGTGCATCGTTAGTCGGTTGATGGTGCGGATAGTGGGTCAAGGGGGCTGAGGGGTGGCGGTATGTGGACCCAGGGGGCGGTGGTCTGCATTAGCTGCCACTACCGATGCCAACAACTAATTTAATGCCAACGGCAGCAACATCAGCAACAACAAGCGACGGCAACATGTCAACAGCAACGCCTGACCAAGGATGAGTGGGAAGAAAAAAAAAAGAGGGGAGACTATATATATAAATATATATCGGGTAAAATGGGGGGCTATACACTCTGCATACTTAATGTCTGGCCACCACAGCCCACCCCATTGTGGGCAGATATTTTATGAATCTGCGGCTGAAATCATTTTTGCCACACATTCGCCTCGCCTCGACCACAAATCAGCAGAATGAGAAATTTGATGGTAATTAATATTGTAAGCGAAATTAATGGCAATGCGACACTGCACACAGATACACACTAGTGCATATAACGAGCATATGCATATATGCATAGGATATATAGACGATAGTGCTTTAGACAATTGGAACACTTCAGCTGGGGATGGCAATCAAAGTTGTCGAGATCGAGGGAAGAGATCAAAGGGGATTTCCATCACTCTGCGCAGATATTTATCTGTTGGGTAAAGGGGTGAGTAAAATTATGCTAAATAAGGGTTTTTAGGAGTATCATATAGAAGATATTTTGCCATAACATGTCATCAAGTCCTAGACAACATACTTATTGAATATTATTAATTTTAAGGAGTTAAATCTTGGATAGAGCTTAATAAATATAAATAATTATTACATTTTCATATGAAAACTTTAATATTTAAGTTTAGTCAATCCAAAATCAGAAGCTCAACGATAATAATTGATTATATATTTCCCCCATATATCATTTATAGGTATCCACAAAATGGAATTCCCATACTCCCAACAGAATTAATTTTGCAATCATCGATGGGGATATGGGCAAAACAACAATGTGGATAATCGCCCCGAATGGCTGCTACCTTGATTACCCTTCCTGGGAAGCTTCATCAAGAGAGGTAGGTTCAGTAGCTGGCCAACTTCCTCCTCATCGCGGCGGCCTCTTGCAGGTGTTTCACGTGGCACTGTTCCAATTTGTAAGCGAATATTGTTTTCGATTGGGTCCAGTGCACGATTTTTAATCATTACGGAGGCGATCTTCATATGAGTCCGTGTCTGTTCCTCAGCCGCCATCCCTCTCCTAACCAACGAATTGGCGATACAAATTGCCGCCTAGCCAAGAGTTGGTAGCTCATTCCAGAGTTTCCCTCTCCGCAGCACCGATCTGCCATTAGCTCATTCTCCCCCTCTCGATTATTGCATTTTCGCCAGGTAATGAAGTTCAACAAAAAGTTAATCGGAAAAGCGCAGGCCCCGCAACTAAATAGACAAATGATACGGAACGGAAGCTGCTCCAGACAGCCTCTCTCCTCTTTTTCCATCTGATCTCTTAGCTTTTACTATACTCCTCCGCGGGCTGCGCTATCGCTACACTGAAAAAAATAGCATAAAAATAATATTGGAATTTAATTAATAATGAAATGAAATAACACAAAAACGATATATTTAATATCAGTTTTGATTCTGGTTTTTTCTTTCTGTGCATTTCCCTTCTGGCCAATTGCGCGGTGGGTTTTGCTTGGCACATTAGCGGCTATAAATTGTCTTAATGCCCGCACACAAATGCAGATGCTTCAGAGCCAGAAATCTGGGCTACCAGAGGGGCATTAAAAATCGAAGGAGATCGGGGAGGAGCAGACACCTTGAATGGCGGCAAAGATCAGACTTCGAGATTCAGGCGAGAGTTGCGAACTTTAACCAAGCTGCGATTGTCTCAGTCTCAGTTGCAGTCTCTGTACTCTGATTCAGATCTTCATACATGATCATATAACAAGAGGATGTGGGGAGCTGAGATGAACGAGACTTTGAATACCCTCTACAAACATTGTAAGTACTATTATTAGTCGGGTATAATTAAAATTATTGGGTATTCCAAATGAGAGTTGAGGATGAGTAATGGTGTAGAGGACAGAAAAGCTACAATCATTAGCCGTTGATCATTAGAACTTGGAGATTCCTAAACAACCCTAAGGTAAGTTTGTTTAAAAACTTAATAACCATAATTAAAGATATAGGTAGTGTGATTATTATGATTAAGTATTTCATATTGAATACTGTTTCCCTTAAAACAATATTTATAAAAACAATGAATCATTTTCACTTTAAAAAAAATATAGAAGACCTATCCATAACCTTTTCCAGGGTATGCCAAAAGCCAAGATGGATTTGAGAAGGAGGTGGGATTAGGCTGGTGGGTCTCTCGCCTCGACTTAAGCCATGCTGGCCTCTAGCTTATGCAACTCCTTGGCCCCACTTGCATGTCCAATCGCAGCGAGATTGTGAAAATTGTAACGCTCGATTGAGAGCTCAAAGTTGCTGCCGTTGCCGCCGTGCTGCTGCTGCTGTTGCCGTTGTTGCTGCTGTTAATAATATTGCAACAAAAGGCAACTTTTGCGAAAGTTCGTCAGTTCGATGTGAGACTGCAGAACAATGGCCCAGGCGCACTCAATTGAAGTGTTTGCCATGGCTCAGGTTGAGAACGGAGGCCTCCAGATTCTCGATGAACGATGCCCGTTGCCCGACTTCTCGTTTCCTAGCAGAACTTCACTTGGCCCATTGTCAGTTGATTCATCTGAAATAGAAAGCATGCAATTTTCATGCCATGACCGTGGCGTCGATAGGCGGCAGCAATTGAT